GAATTATTTATATTATTAAAATGACTATTAGATTGATTAGCAGTTATTAATCTTTTTAATTTTGAAGTGATACTTTCAATTTGTTCTACTAATTTATTGATTTCAATATTTATAGATGGTATTGATAAAAAAGATAAGCTATTTGATATAGTATTATATTGTTAAAAATTAGAACTATAGATAGTTGTTATATTAATTGTTTCTTCTAATATTGTAAAATATGTTGAATTTACAAAGAATTTAATTTCTGATCTGAGCCTATCTATAAAGTATAATATATATAAGTGATTCAGATAAGTATTAGTTAAATTTACTTTTCTAATTAGTTCTCTAATAGCTATAGTATATTATTCTATACTTTCACCAGATAATTATTTTTTGCTTTAATTATTATTGTCATTTATAAAATTGATCATGATTTCTAAAGTACTTTTCAAATTAATATATAAATAAAACTTCTTTTGTATTTTAATTAATTTCATTATTATAACTCCAGATTCCTGATTATTCTTGATCATATAACTTTTTATTAGCATATTATGTGATAGCTAAGTCTTTCAAATAAGCTTCTACTATCTGAATTTTTCTGTTATTACTAATACTATTAGTAATATAAGTATTTTTAAAATCTTGAAGTCAACTAATTGGATCTTGAGTATCATTATAGAATTCTATAATTTTAATATAATTAGCTTTCTTTAGTTTTTCTAGAGTTATAATAAGTGTTCTAATTCTATGTATTAAATTTTCAAATCTATTATCAGTAGTTGATAAAGATGATATTTTATTTTTCTTATCTCTGCTTATTTTTTCTTCTTTAAGTGATATTAATGAAATAAAAATTGAAATAACAGATATATCTTGAGTAATTGGTTGTATTTTTAAATATTTATTAAGTGGTGACTACATTAATATTTTTTCAAGAGTGTCTGAATTATATTTTTCAAATTGTCTAATAGTTTTTTTTTTGATTTTAATTGACTCGGATTAGATATCTTTACAGGTACAGAGGGGTATAAAAAGTATTGGACATTTTTGTGATGTATTTTATGATATAACTAACTTATAAATTTTTTTGTTTATATATCAATATTAAAAGCACAGGTCAATATTTCGTTTGACCATCATTTGCCTCAAGAATAGCTTGAACATAATGTGGCATAGACTTGATCAAATTATGATAATAATTTATGGGTACCACATCCCATTTCTTCTTAACCCATTATTCTAATTGCATAACATTTAAGGACTGCGAATCACGTTGACGAATTTTAACTTTAATATGTAATCAAAGATTCTCTATTAGAGTAATATCAGGGCTTTGTGCTAGCCAAGGGAGTAACTCGATATTTGAGGAGACGAAAAAAGAATGTGTGACTTTTGCAATATAGGTTAGCATATTGTCTTCCTAAAAAAAAAATTTTTTTTTTACTTTTCTTGCATGAAGTTTAACCATAGGTTTGTCAAGATCTTACAGTGCATAACTCCAGTAACATGACCATTCAAGAGAACTATAAGATCCAAACCAACCCAAGAGAAATACCTCCAAAACATGCGATCAAAGCTTTTTCTAATCATGGTTGCAATGTAGTTCTCATGAAATTCTTCCGAAGGTTCACATCACATATATCCAAAACCAGTAGTTCTAAACTGTGTATACGTAGACTCATCTGACCAAATAATATATTTGAAATCCTCTACTGTCCAATCTTCGTAAGTACGGACCTACTCCAAGCATTTTTCTTTATTTTTTTCGGAAATTAATAGTTTGAAATAAGAAATGCATGAATGAAGTTCTTCTTGAGCTAACTCATTTCAAATAGTTTGTGTAGAAACAGTTTTGTTGGTTTCTTTAATAAAGTTTGATCATATTTGTGAAAGAGTTTGGTGGTAGGCTTCTTTATTTGCAATTACTAAATATTTAAGAAGTTCACGTGAATTTTTGTCAAGAGTTCATGGTCAGTCCGTTCATTTCTTAGAAGATTTTTTTTGATTAAATGACTCCCATACATGTATTACAGAAGAATGAGAATAACTAATAATGGCAGAAATCTCACTATTCATATGCCCTAACTTTTTTGCCATGATAATTCCTCCTTTTTGGTGTTCAGAAAGTTCTTTTTCAAGGCATATTTTGATGCGGTAAATCTTTTCGTGATGATAATGTTTGGTGTTTTTTGTGTGTCTGTGTGACCTGTCATTATGTTCTACAGTGACATGATTTAAGTTAATTATAAATTATAAATAAATATTTTAAAAAAAAAAAGTATAGCTTAAAATAGTAAGGGTATCACGATACATATTCTTTTTATATTATATCAAGTGTCCAATACTTTTTATACCTTCCTGTATATCTTGTTATTTTCTTTATCTTTATTCTATCAGATATTTGCTTCTCTTGTCTTTGAATTCAAATATTTCTTGTTACAGTTTATAGAGATATATTTGTATTTATTCTGCTAATAAGTCAGTTTCTTCTTCTATTAAGATTACAAAATCTTTTCTTGCCTTGATTTAGATTTTACTATATATTACTTCTTGATAAAAATAATAAAATTTTTTTTAGATAACTTGATAATCAGATTTAGTATAATTTTTAAAATATAACTCAGTAAATAATTAAATGAAGAGTCTTTCTCTTTCTACTTTGATTTCTTTAGTTAGATCCACTTTAATATATTGCAAAATTATCTTTTCAATTACTTTTGATTCTCTACTAATTTTAATTTAATTTACAGAGGATTCTTTATCTAAATCTGAGTTGAATTTGGTAATTCTATAAAATTGTTTTTCTATAGAGAGGACATCAAAAAGTTATTACCTTTTTAATATAAATTTGATATAAAGATGAGTATTAATCCTAATATTACAAAAACATGTGATAAAAGTGATCATATGCTTATAATAATATTGGAAGAGTCTTTAAAAAGATTTATCAATAAGAATATAATTACTATTATTTCAAGATTTATCTAAAGATAGATAATGATAATATTCTTGTTATGACTAGCTAGAATATAGTCTAATTTCAAAATATAATTTCAAGACAGATGTAATATTTAATTTATTAATAAGACAAAATAATAGATCTTAATTAAGATCTATTCTACAAGAGAGATTTCTTAAAATTTTCTTAAAACTAAAATCTACTTAAATATAAATTGAAAACTAAACTCATAAAACTCAAACTAAAATAAATAACTAACTAATTAACTTATTAACTAAGCTATTGACTAATTAACTAAATATCTAACTTCTAAATTCACTAGCTAAGATATATTACTTTTATATATTTTAGAGATTATACAAATAATACTTTTATTATGATATTTATATTAGATTTGCTATAATCTAAATATCACTTTAGCTAGTATCATAATATTGATTTTATTATGATAATATTATTAGTTTTGTTATAATAGTTTTATTAACTTTACTATAATAATTTTATCATGATCATTATGCTTGTAAAATCTAAAAATATTTACAAATAATATTCTCTAAAGCTAATATTTAATAAGATATAAGTAATTATTTATCTAATTATATTGTAATATGAAGTGACTGATAATATATAATTAATTAATATTCTACTAAAAGTTCATATCATAATAATATCTAAAATTAAATCAAATAACTTCTTATATTATTTTTTGCTAGACTCAAAATGTAATCAAGAATCTGTATTTTATATATTATTACTTTAATTATAATTAAAAATAATAAAACTAGTAACTATATAAAATATAATAGTATTATATTCATAATCTAAATAATTTTTTTAATCTTTTTGCTCATTATCAAAAGCCAAAAATAAAGATCTTTGATTATTCTATAACTAAACTTTCCAACTAATTAATAAATATTATATAATAGCTGGAATTAATAATATAATTATTAATATCAACAATCATTTTTAATCTTGCTAATAAATATTTAAATACTAAAATAGTCAAATTATTAGTAAATACAAGTGTCTTGATCTATATATAGCATCAATTGTTACTATATGTTTAAAAAGCTTTTCTCTCTCAGATTGATATTTATTTTATTATTAGTAAGAATTTTTATAAACTTATCTATGACTAAATTTTATTTAGCAAGCTATTTATAAGGAAAATATTCTAAAAGACTATCTAAACTGAATCATTCATGATTTTTTATTAAATTTACTATATTCTTATATAAGCTATTTTATTTCTTTTTAGCAATTTCTATCACAAACTTAATATGATCTTGTTGATCAGTAAATCTTAATCTTTTTTTTAATACTTCATTTTTAGATAATAAATACTGATTAAGATTTTCTAATTTCTTAATTCTTTTCAAAAGTATTTTATATGCTAGATCTAAAAAAGATACTTGAGATTCAAAATCAACAAAAATTTTTTCTGGTAAATCAACTTGAATGTCAATATCAATATTATTAATACTAGAGAGCTTTAATCTTTTTCTCTCAGATCCCTCTGAATCTACAAAACAACTACATGTATCTTTGCGTGTTAATTAGTAATTGCCGATTTTTCCATATTTATCATTTAAAAAGTCGTCATATATCTTCAGTGAGAAAGCTCATTCTTATTTAGTATCAGTCAGATTAAAGTTAATATTAAGCCATGATTTTATTTAAAATTTTCTTTCGTTGACTTTAGTAAATATACATCTGTATATCTCTACTAAAATCAACGAAAGAAAAAAACATCTTTACCTTTTATTAGGTATGTCAACACTTATATGACAAGTTTGGGCTCCCTAAAAATGAGATGATGCTTATTCACGGAAGATTTCAACAATTATTAGTAGATGATTCCCAGTCAGCCAGCAAATTGGTGATGGTGCTTATTACTGAAAGAATCCTGTAAGTTATTAAAATTTCTCATGTAATGCGTAAATGACCTTTTATTTGTTAAATTGTAGAATATTTTGATATAATTAAAGCAAAATTTTTGCTTTTAAAAATCTAGTTTATTAATAAACTATTAAATTTATATATTTCCTCTTCACCCATGACGGTACCTAAATATCCTGTCAAAATGGATAAAAGCTTCGCTTGATACTTCAGGAGCTCCATCGGTTCTTCGAAAAAATTTTAACGACGCATGAATATCCTTCACCAAACCAAAACCATTCCGAAAGCAATATCCAATCGCGAATTTGGCACGATCATTGTCTCCATCTTCCGCTGCCAGAAAATACCAGAAAAAGGCTTTTTGCAGACTTATTCGTGTTCCATATCCACGATAATAACAGGTGGCTAGCATATATTGAGCTTCTGGAAATCCGACACTTGCTGATAGTTTATAAAGTTCAAATGCTTGCTTGCTGTTTGGATTTGTACCGCACCCTTTTTCATGGCAAAGACCAAGATAGTAAATACCAATAGCATTGCCATGCGATGCTGATTTCTGATAGTATGAAAATGCAGATTCATAGTTGACTTCTGTTCCTTCGCCAAATTGATAGAAGTTTCCCACTCGACTTTGAGCGAACGGGTTATCGATCTCGTCAGCTGCTCGTTTATACCAATAAAACGCTCGATTTTCATCTGCTTTTATTCCGATACCCTGTTATTTTAAAATAATTTAATCATATTTTCTTTCCATCTAACTATTAGACAATGAAAACAATTAAAATACCTTACATTTTTTAATATAAATCCTAGCAAACTATAGAGTTTATAAATGTTAACTTTTCTATATACAGCGTAATAAACTTTAGTACCTTGTAGTTTATTTTCATTTAACCAGTTTTGAATTTCGTTTACTATTGATTTATTAGATCTGAATTTTTCATTGCTTGTCATATATATTTTCCAAAGTTCAATGACGACAAAGGCTTCCGGATGTTCGTCAAAGTTTATTGTGAGTTTCGAAAGTTCTTGAGTGTTTGTAATCGATTTTTCTTCCATTATTATCGTTTCTAACAAAGAATATCTAAATATAGAAAATTTTTTTTTGTTCATGTAACGGTAAACATTGTTATCGAGTGTTTTGAGATGTGTGCCAGTTGATGGTGCTAGCATCCCCATCACAACCAATAAGGATGCGGCGATTCTTTGTGCCGCAAACTATGTGGCCCGGACATGTGATCAAGTGTGGCTCCTAACAACCAACAAGAATGTATAAATTTTTGAACCCCGATCTACCAAAAATATACATGAACAGTATGTTTCGATTAAAAAATAAAAATACGATAAATTTTCCGGAATCGACAAAAGAAATGTGAGTCACATTTTGCGTCTCGGAGAAAAAAAGAAAAATAGAACATGTGACCAGACATTTTGGGAGCGTTTAAAGCGTAGTCAATCATGTGATCTATGCCCAATAGGAATGCGCAAATTTTTATCAACCCGGCAAAACTAATCCGACACAAAAAACTAATGCTTAAATCTGGCTTAGAGTACTAATTAAAAATGTCGGGATGACAATTTACATATAACTCTCCTCTAACCCTTACCCCGACATTAAAACCATCAATAGGTATTTAAGGGGATTGATCACATGATGGACTACGCTTTAACCGATCTTTCTCAGTTTTGTTGATACCGGAAAATTTTATTGTATTATCGTTATTAAAAAGAAGGGTTAGAATAACGATAAGAATTATAGTGAGATAAGAGAACAAAAATTAGTATTCTAAGCTAGGTTAAAACATCTGTTTTTATATTTCATTTTTTGTATTCGGATTTGTTCATTATTATTGGCTGGACGTGGACAAGTCTTAAAAGTCACATGACTCATCACAGGATTCCTAAATGAGGCAATTGTTAATTAAAATCTCGCGTCAAAAACTAATACATGATAAGCCCTTGATGTTATGAAACTTTTAATGAAATACAAATTTGAACAATTATGAATAAAAACGATTATTGTGCTTGATACGTAGCTATATTAACAAACTAAAAGTTTCAAATTACAAAATAAAGAAACAAAGATTCAATATTATTGACAATCATGTTGTGAGCTACAAAATAAAACATTCAGTATGTGACAAAAGCAAAAACTTTTCAATTGATAAATTCCTTCTTCTCGTTCAAACCAAGATATAAATTTTTAGTCTACAATCTAATAGAAACAATGACCTATGCATCTTCGTTGATTAAATGCAAAATTGTAAATGAAACATATTTAAAACACAATTACGTCAATTAGACGAAAAATTTTCAAAGCAATTATTAGTGTCCAACATTCACTTTTCACTTTTCAAAATCTTTGTTTCCTAAAAATAAACAAGTTTTGGATATATGAATATGTGTAAGTTGTAAATTTAAAAGGCTGTTTAAGTTAGTTGGCCTATGCATTATAATTTATCATACTGAATGAATTTTTCGAGATTCTTCTAAGATGAATTTTCCATCATTCTAAAAAAATAGAATCACAGCATTTTTTATTAAGTTCGCGAAATTAAAAATTATTAAAATAAGCTATTAAAAATAATCTCGTATTCAGCATCATTAGATTTTTCATTTACGTTATGTATTAATTCCGCAAATGCAAGTGCAATTCCTCTTCAACAAAATCAAATTCATTAATAAAGAGCAAATCATATTAAGATATCTCACACAAGGAAGTTCAGGTTTGAATGAGAAAACGTGCATGCTTAACCAATTGACTCTTCTTAACGTATCACCTCACAACGTACCCTTTTCAAATCTTGTGTATTGATCCGTAAGTTGTCTGCCTAAAGTAGAAGAGGAAATTTGTAATCAATATCCAATGCCATTACGACCAAACTTTTCACACACATATATTTTCCTTCATAAAAATGCAAAGTTCAAGCCTTTGTTCTATTTAAAATCATGTAGTTTCTGGCGCGAGTTATTTTAACTGAGATCATCGAGATAAGTTTCAACTGTTTATCAAGCTTATCCTGCCATTATCTTCATTATCTTTCTAAAAAAAGTAAACAAAGTAAATTAAGGGGGAAAAACTCGAATAGTAATTTTGATTGATCACAAGTTTGTCATTGTTGATTCCCCGATGCATGAAAGATCGTGCATATATGCAAGAATGGGTAGTTGTCAGAACTTTTGTGCGTACCAATTTCCATTTTTAATTTCCCTCTTCATTGATAAAGATGTTTTGCTCGAATACAAAGATTCAAATAAATTATTGGCATTAAACTTTAAAACTATCACATATATTACTTTTGTCCTACTTTTTTATGATAGATATATGACATGTATTAATGTGAAAAACCAATCATTTTATATAATAATTATTTTTCCAATCATGTGATAACATTAATGATGCATTCGTCTTCGTCGACAATGGCATGTAGGAAAGAGAATTTCGAATTTTAGAAAAATCGGTTATTCGTGTAATTAGAAAAAAAAGAGGAGATTCTACAATAATGGCCTTTCATTAAAAATTTTCACATATTGCCTAATCAACCGAACTCAAAATGTTCAAAAAGAAATTTCATTTATTGGTCTAGCGAGCGAGAAATCCCATATGATGTATGTATGTGAAAATTAGCTAATTTTCACCATGCATTGTCAATTAGTTTTACCAATTTGTCTTTATTGCATGTTAACATTACTGGTCAAATTCGTAATTTTATATTACATTATTACCTTAAATTAAAACAAAAGTTTAATTTATCTAGTAATAATGCTATTAATAGCGATAGCGACAGGCGACATGCATAGGAACAACTATTAAACGTAAACCAAGTTTGCAGCGTTCGAACTGTGTCACATATTACTCTTGTATTCCATTTTCGGAAACATTGTTGTGACACTTCATTACCCGAATTTTAATCTGCAATAGTTAAAAATTGAATGGCACATTATAGTGCACGTATCAAATCATTTTTTGTGTTTATTTGCTTCTACAGACAAGGAATCAAGGCAAGAAGAACAAGGTTCTTTATCAACAAGTGTGGTCATACATTTGTATTAAACTGGTGACTTAATAAGAAGTTGCCTCGGAAACAATGAAGAAATTCTGTCTATTTGGTAAAACGTCAGAGAATAGTGGTAGAGTAATCGCAGATTGTCTAACACTTGAACTTTAGGTCTCAGTGAATTGTATTTTAATTAATAGTAACTAATTAAACATGTAAATAGAATTATTGATTATCATAATATCTATCAATCATAAAATCTGAAACGTTCTCGAAAGAACATATTTTCGCACATATTTCAATTTTTGTGTTAGTTCATTCAACTGAAGCAACAGAATTAATATAGTCACATAACTGTTTTCCGTTTTTTTTCTTTCGGTATGTAACTAAATAAATTATGTGCAGATACACATAATCAATAATTTATAATTAATTTAAAGTTTACTTTAGATTGAAGATAAGGTTATTTATTAACAAAAATGTTCGAAGCTTTTGATTTTGTCAAAATCTGTTTGTTCATGTCACGGAAAATTTTAAATAAAAATTAAATTCTCCTAGCTGTTTACCATGTTTGGCAATTTACTTTTACAGTGTCACCCTGTGATGATATTGTGAAATTTCTCAGTTTCGCGACGATTTAATTAAACGATGCGCGACAAACGAGCAGTTTGCCAAATTAAGAAATGGATCTCAACAGCTCGCCAACAATGAAACGAAGAAAATTATGAGGAAGAGGCGAACACACAACGGTGTTGTTGCTGTTTCATTTAAACATGCTTCTATTTTGCATTGCCTAAATTCAAGTGGATTTTATGCAGGAATGGTGTAGAGAATACAAACACACTTTTAGACTATGAGAATTCGGGAAAAGATATATATTAATGTTAGTGTTGGAATTTTGGATACACAAAATCGAGATTCTACCTGTTTTGGCACATAGTCATTCCGAAAAATTATCGGCGATTCATTTAAGCTATTCATTCATAATGGTTGGTGTCTTTAATAGTGGATACATTAATATAATATTTTCAGGTTATTCGTCGGAAAATGGTTTTTCAGCAGAGAACATGTTAAAGTACAAAAAACTGTTTTAAATATATATTTATTACAATAAAATTTCCTATTTCATATGCTTAAATGGTTATTCTAATGAACTTCTGTTTTCTAAATCGTTGTCAATTTCAACTTTTTTTGCAAATCATAATAATCCGAGTCGTACTTCCCAAAGTTGAATTCATTAATTATCATATATTGAGAAACGCAACGTTTCTTTATTAATAATTTGCAATTTACAGTTCAATGTCTCCGAGCAAATGCATTAATGTCGGTCCAGTTTGCTATAAGCTGCGTGTGCATAGCATTAATTTTGTTTCATTCAATAACATAAATTCTTAATTTAAATTATATTAAAAAGATAATGTATATTCTAACAATGAACCACACTTGCATACTGGGGTGACATTGTCGGTAATTATCCGTGTAACTCACAGTTTTCCTAAAATGTCCAACAGCAAATATATACTAGCATAATGCTAACATAAAAAATTATAGTATGTAGCCAATAATGGTTAGTATAATCGCACAAAGATCCATCATTATTAACAAAGACTTTCTTTTTATATTTCAAGAGAATGTTTTGTTACCCCCACACGAAAATATAAAACCCCTAGTTGTCGCAGATTTTGTTTTCCTCATTCACCAATTCCTTATATTAATCATCTTAGTTTCTCTTCTACAGAAGTAACATTCATTTACTCTCCGGTAGAGATCCTTCTCTTTAACCCTTTTACTCCTATCTCCTTTACTCCCAAGCTAAAGGCAATTTTCTATACAGCATAACCCGCTGATCATAAACAATTTACAACATTCTTTGACTAGATTCAACTCGATCTTGCCTTTAAATCTTCATCTTCTCGCGCTACTTCCAAATCCTTATCTACCACACCCTTTTTCGCATCAAAAAGAAACATGTATCACTTCGTCATTTTAATGCTTCTCTTCGTTAGTCATGTTACTAGTCAAGGATACATGACTTTTCCACCTGTAAGAATTCCAGAAGGCGAGAATGGGCTCAAAATAGCACGTGGACCAGCAGTAGACTATAAATGTAATGGCATGAAGCCTGGTCCAGTTCATTCGCAATTTACTTCTGGCGGACTCATTAACATCAACTGGAAAATAGAAACCCCGCTTGAGGGAACATGTTTTATCGAACTTTCCCTTACTGGTAAAGATACTGAATTTAGTACCATTGGCACCATAGAAAATTGTGCCGATACAAGTGGCGATTTTGAAACTAAAGTTCAATTACCAAGTGACGCTACATCCGAGCATGGTACGTTACGATTCAGATGGGTACCAAGATTATCTGGTGCAACGGTTATTGATTGCGCTGATGTTTCGATCTCCTCTGACAACACTTCAAGCCAATCAAAAAGAAAAAGGAACAACAACAAAGCACGTAACCTTAACAAGAGAAAACCAATTCTAGAAGATTCATTTTTTAAACGTGATTTGGCGTCTGATTCTGATATCGAGAGCCAACATAATAGCAAGCGTCAAATACCTTGTGAGATTTGTGTATAACGAACAACAAGAAACGTTCACACAACAACACAATTATAAAGATCAATTACATAGCGATAGATCATTCATTCATTTTACATATCAACATTAGCATATATACATAGATTCACATTTCATTGTAATTTTTTTTGCATTTCATCAATCACATTTTCACTTTATTGCATGCTTTTTTTTCCTTCATTATAAATTGTAGTATTTTTGCATTATTTTTTTTACATCAATTTTTTAAATTTCTAGGCATAATTCCCTTTGTTAGATAATCCCTTTATTTTTTTTGCTTTAAAGTTTTTTTTGCTTTTAAAGTTTTTTTTTATTATAATTATGTCGATAATTTGATGTAAAATGTTTATAAACTGTATAAATTGAGAATGGCATTTGAATTTCAAGTAAACAATAACCATAAAAATAAATGAATTTATATTAACAGCAAATGCTTTGGAAAAACAAATAAGTATCGATATTTATTAATGCACAACTAAAACCACAGATATGAATGCTGCAGATTGTCGTGTAAATTATGCGTAGGTTAAATAGTTTAACTAATTTGTTCGTTCCAATATACAAATTAATTTAGCTATAAGCTCTTTTGTGTAAGAAACTAAAAAATACAAAAATTTACATAATACATGTAATGTAATTAATTTTACGTCGATTAAGTTGTCTGATAGAAATAAAAATAAAGATAATAACAAAAAATTAAATAATATTAAATTATAATTTTGAAAAATAGACATGTTAATTAGAGAGCATTGCCAATTGAATTGTGTTTTGATTCATTATTCATGTCTGTACTAGAAACTGTTGATTCTGTGACAGTCGTAGTTAGACTATGATCACTGATTCGGTTTGCATCTAATTCAGATCTATTAGCGAGATTTACATTTGTTTCAGCGTTGCCGCAAAGCCCAAGTTCAGGATCAACTTCATCGTTTACTTCGGGTCGTATTTCTTCAATTGAATCATCTTCTGTGCTGTTATGAGTTTCATTTTTATCGGTACGTTTGCCAGCGACGGATTTTGCCCATTCAAAAAAAGAAACCCTTTTCATTGATGAGACAACCACTGTATTTTTACCGATCTTTTGAGTATTTTGCGATGCTGTTGAAAGTTGGGTTGATGTAAAATCGTGTGAGTCTTTAGTTGAGATATCAAAGGTTGATGTTTGACCTCCTGTATTTTTATTTCCTTTATTAAATGATGGTTTCTCGGAAACAACCGTTTTTCCGTTGACAGTTGGACCACGCCCCTCAATCACTCTCACTATCTCTGCATCAGCAGTTATCAAATACGACATTGAAAGATAAATGAATGTAAAGACATATGTTATGGTAAGCCCGTCGATTTGAAACATTTTAGCGTATACCGCTGAAACCACGTGGTAAGATATTGTGATAAATAATCGCAAAAAGTTCCAGTACAAGACTGCGGTAAATAATGTTCTTTTATGAGGGCGTCTCATGTTTGATGCTACATGTTTGGCATTATTGTTGGCTTTACCGAGTACTTGAACTAATCTTATTGTTACAAAAATATCAATAGCGAAGTCTATTGCAAGAAATGTCCATTGTAAATTTACAACTGCATCTGAAACAGGTGAAGTACAAATGTATGTTCCGACGGAATGAACGCTTGTTAGCTTATAGAGAAAGGCACGGGTAAACTAAAGAAAAATAAATAAAATTAAGAAAGAGGATTTATAAAAGTTTACGTTGTCATCAATTATATCTGAACATTACCTGTAAAACTCCTGTACAAAAAAAGAGTGCAAAACCAATTATCGAATCACTTCGTTTATATTCAATTTGTCTTACTCGCCATAATAAAAATGCACTTAAGGATAAACGAAATAGCACTGTAGCTATATTTGTAATATATCCTTCAGCTAAGCAAACATCATCATTTACATCAGTCGCCAATGATTTTACTATTTGGAGGACAACTTTGACAAAACCAGAGAAATTAAAGATAATCTTGATAAGATTCGATATATTTGCTTTACGAGCATGATAATACGCGATAGAGACGAAGGTGTTATGAAAATAAACCTATAAATATATGAGGTGAGCGTTTATCAAAATCTTGTATTGCAAACAAAGTTTCGACACTACTTACCATTGCCCAAGTGCCCCAAAGGAAAAATTGGGCGTAAGTTTTTTGCGTTGTATTTAATGTCATTTTATTTAGCTGCTATACAAAGTTATGTATTTTAAACTTGTATTCAATACAAAGTTCGCGACAGGGTTAAAAAGAGTTTTTTTTAAAAAAAATATAAATTTTAATCGATCGCGTTTTTAAAGATTTTTTTGACGAATTCATTTATTTACATCACAATAGCAAAATTGGCTTAACATCATCCCTAGATTGAGAACAATACTAAGGAGGAGTGAATGCATTGTGTTAAGTATCACTATGTCCACTATGATTAGTACCAGAATTACCCGAAACGTATATTGTTTATGCTCACATTGTTCGGTGATCAATCATAATGTATCATTATGTAAAGTTTCATCGATATACATGTACATGGAATAGCATTCTAAAAACTTTTTAGTTTTGTCTTTCATATTTAGTCGTGAAATACGCGTAGATTCAACATAATATCAAAACTTAAAAAAATAACTTTACTTATTGTCTTTGAAACGTGAATTAGTAATTAAGACTTGTATTTATAGTTCATAACTTGTAATCTATAAACAGAAGTCTGTATCATGTCATGCGATTTTTACACCTGCGGAAAACCGGTTGTATAATTCTAAATTCGATCTGCTGAAATGCAAAAATTTCTAATAAATCCTTATCTAGCATTGATAATCATAAGATTAAGAGCTTTATTTTTTAAAAAAGCAAATGATTGGTAAACTTAGTTTTTAAGTTAAGTATGAAAATTTTGGAATCGGGAAAAATGATCAGCAATGTAGGTCACGAATTTTGATATGACTTTTAATTAATATTTCTCAACTTCTCTTTAAATAAATTA